TTAGCTTACGGTCAGTTTTTTTTTCTTCTCGCCCTTGGTTTGTCAGACTTAAACCATCCTGTCTGAACCTCATCCCATTTGTGTGTGCGTGTCACCCCAGGAGACCCAGCCGTTCATGGTTCATTAGCCACACGTACACTTCCGTTCTGCTCTCGCTGGTAAAAGGGGCAGCTTCACACCCACACGTACGCGAGCACACACGCAATTCCTGTTTTGTTTAGTTCTGCCGGCTCTGATGAACAGGCACGCAGCCTCCTCCCCTCTCCTCCTTGTCTTCTAGTAATCAGGATACCTCTGAGACAGACAGGTAGCATCTGTCGCTTTCTCTCCCCTGCTCCGGCCCTCCCTCGGTTTCTGCGTCTCCCTCTCTTCCGTGCCATTGTGCTGCATTACCCTTGACGATGGATTGATGAGATAATGAAGGAGTTACCCCGCTGAAATACTCAACTGAAGTCCCAGAAAGTGTTCTGTAATGGATTTACAAACATTTAAAGGCATTTTTTTGCTTAGCAAGCTGACCGCTGACAGCGTCTCCACCTTTACGAGGTGTTGGCAACAACCTTAACGTCAAAGATCTCTGCTCGAAGATCTCTGCCTCCCCGTTACATCTGCTGAAATTGAGCAGTTGCAGTCGACACGGCAGAGGCCTCTTGTGAGTCTGTTCAGCTGCTCGAAGAAGAAGCTGCCATCTGCTTTTTCAGCTCCAGACTCCTTCATATCTGCCGGGCCACGACGGAGCGAGGCTGTGATGGTTTGGTTTTGAAATGGGGGCCTCCTGCTTGATTAGCATATTTTACCCTGTGTAGAGACAACAGATCCACACCAACCCACCCACCCACACCTCTCCTTTCCTTTGCTTTCCTTCTCCTTCACCCCTCCACCCATGTGTTTGATTCCTCGGCCGTGACAAAGAGCTTCACCCTTTATCCACGTGTGTGTGTGTGTGTTGGCTCGGTAAGATGGGGGTGGCCTTTAGATTAAGGGAAAGCTTCCTGCTCTTTATTTGGGGAGTCCCTCTGGGAGACGCCTAAGGAACGACTTTCGTTGAGTCACCACCGCCTACTTACATTCACACATACACACATGCACTTCAGATCTCGCACACACACACCTCACCCCTGCTCTTTTTTCAAGCTGCCCATTGACTGGGCACTGGTTGTTGTATAACACCAGCTAACCGTGCAAAGACACACATGTCCCACTGAGGCCCCCTAGTTTGCTCTCAGTATCTTAGCATTAGAAGTCCTCTCTTCTCTTACCTTGATGTTAACTAACCCGAAGAAGCTTATGGAGGCAATAATGCAGATATGCCACAAAATTAACAGAACTTAACCTGATGTGACGCGTAAGTCAGGTTATTGAGCGGTTTCATGCCGGGACTTAAATATCACCTCAAGTCTGCTTGGTTATAGAAGGCATTTATTTTTAATGATTTAGGGTTTAAATGAAACCCCCATTTAGCCTTAAGTGTATAACATAGTTTTACAGTACAGTTCTGAAAAAATCTTATAGTAAAAGTTAATAAAATTTAACAGCACCCTGCATAAACGATCTAGAAATGAGTCCAAAACCCTTAATTTGAGTAAGTAAATAAGATGATTTGCCAATGCAATGAGTATGTTTACCCTTAAAATAAGATAATTGGATAATATGCACCTGAAATAAGAAAATGCAATTGTTTTGCCTTGTTTTAAATATAAATTGTTTTGTTCCATTGGGAAACGGTTTCACTGACCTCCTCAACTCAAGAAAAAATGCCCTTATTTTAAGGAAAAGTAACATACTTAGCTTTGGAGGTTTTTTTCCCGTACAGGAGCATCATAATTGGAAAATCATCTATTTCTTAATGCATTATACATTTCAATTCAAAAACTCGTATTTTAAAGCTTTAGCACATTCAGTGGAATATTTCAAGCATTTACTTCTGTTAATTACGATTATTTTAGAAAAAAAAATCCAGTTTCACTTTCCTTTAATGTTGGAATGTTGCACAAGACGCATGCAGAAAGACTTCTTCTGCCAGAGTTGATCAGACCATCATATGTTTCTATGTTGGCGTTGTCCTGAGGATCCCCTTACGGAGGAGTCTTAAACCCCTACAGTTTATTGGTAAAGAAGCCGGCTGTTCAAAGTGCTGTATCGAAACGATTTTAAGGGGAAATTGGATGGAAGGAAAAAGCTTGATTAAAAAAAAAAAAAAGAAGTTTTAAAGCAGCACAAGGGACACAAAAAATGCAGCCTGGAAAGTTATTGGTAGAGCATGGATTACCTCCAGATGGAGGACATGGCCTTCAACTCGGCTCCATTCTTTGTGTCAATTCTTCCCTTAATTCTGCCCAGAACCAGGAGACACTCTGCAAAGGAAAAGATGAAGGGGAAAAAAATACATAAAAAAAAGTCTTACACATTTAGGTATGAAAAACTGCATTATTTTTGTAATAAATACTTCTGAGGTGTGTTAGGATTACCTTTTTCTCTCTTTATAATAGAAATATGTAAATGAAGGATTACAGGAGAAATAATCCAACATATGAAACCAGGATGAAGTAAATGAATTTGGACTCGTTTCTCTTCTAAAGTCTCTGTATAACACAGCGTAAAACATTTTGTATAAATGAAACATTTTTTTAAGTCTGTTTAAACCATCTTCATCTGAATGAAGTTCTGGGAGGAAAAAAAGCCTCATCATTAGAAGGGCTGTGGGATTATGGGTGAAAAAAGTATCACGATTATGCCTTTCATGTCAGTCAATAACAATAACTCCTGATTTATTTTTTACGCATTTGAAATAAGCACCAGAAAGACGAAAAACTACATTCAAACTGTAACCCTAGTTCTATTTTCTGGTAACCTTTGACCTTTAAGAAGAGGCCAGCACTACCACCGACCTTACTTAGTTTGGCCCTGAGAGGTTAGGAGGGTAAAGTGTTTCTGTAGATTTAATTATCTTTTCTGACACATGTATTTTCTAGAGATATTTACCAGATCTGTATTGTGATATAGAGGATTAGGGTTAACCCTAACCAAGCTATGATTATTAGGCTGTACATTGTCACATAATTTAATCATCTTAAATGATTGCTGTGAAAGATTCGGCCATTTTTGGAAAGGAGTGACCCTGAAAAGCGAATCCTCATCAATGCTGCGTTAACATGACTCTTTCAAAATAAAACCTCATTTCTTTTGGTTTACATTTTAGTCACTTATAGAGAACAGCCCATTCTTTATCTGATTATAAAATGAGTAGCATAAAGGTGTCATTGAAAAACTGATTTCTTTCTTTTTTTTTCTTGTTTGGAGGAAATTCTTGTGGAGGTTAAGCAGAAAAAATAGTTTCTTTCTAGAAGAGAAGGTATCAAATGTTCTGCTGCTCTTTTAAACTTAAATGCAACATTTTTAAGACGGTTTTCATTATCTGACGTTGATCAACTATTTTACTTTAGGAAAAGAGTGACAACGCTTGGATTTTAGTTAGTGCGATGGTGTCTGTGTGTATATTTGGAGGTGAAGGTCGTGGCAGAAAGGAGCCCCATCCAAACAGCAGCCATTTTAATTTGTTTGACAGGGAAGAGAGGTGATAACCTCCCTCTGCAGCCGCTCACCCGGGGAAGAGGGAGGGAGGAAGGGGGTTAGAAAACAAGGAGAGGAAGCAAAAGCAAAGGAAGGAGGGCTGAGCTGCATAGCGATAAGGGGGCTGGATAGAGAGAATCTGAAAGAGGACTGGAGGAGAGAAAGGTGGAAAGGAGAGTGTAATATTTGATTATGGCTCAAGGCTGTGTGTTTATCCAAAGGCTAAAGACTGTCAACCAGCTAATCGCAGGGGTCGATGTGTGTGGGTGTGTCCGTGCGCCTCAAAGCATGTGTGGGTCATTGCTTATGGGCGCATCATTTATGCCGACTACACGTGTCTGCGTGTTTGCACTCGCCTGTACGTTAGGATCTCTGGATGTCGGTTACAGTTCTGTGGGCCTGAGGAGGATACGGCGCTCTCCCTCAGGGTGCTGTTAGCGCCACTCTCATACAGATGTGCCAGGCTGCCACTGTGTCAGTTTCACTGTGGGTATACGTGTGTGTGTCCTCTGTCACAGGAAGCACAAGTCATCCCACAGGATTAAGAGTCTAACAGGGTTGCTTGGTTTTGTGGACTTAATATGTCCTGGAAATTTTTCCTGAGATTTTTACTGCTATTTTTTAAGGTATATTATTGTTAGAAAATTCACATGAATTGTCTGACATAAAAAAAGGTTAATCTCTTTTCCTCTGATACCCTGAGACAAAATCTTGTGCAACCAGAAGTCCCAAAATTGAATCTCAGTATTTATCCAGCTATTCTGTAAAAGACATAAAAGTAATGTTTAATCCATTGTGCAAATTTTGAAAGGTTGTTGCACAATTTTCCCATTGTGCACACCTCAACAAACATGCTGGACTGGGAGAAAATGAATCAGAGCAGTGGAAAAGAGGCCAGTGCTTCCTTAGAGGGGGCGGCAGAGATCCTCCACTCAGGCTGAAGAGTCTTAGTCCTGCACTGCACACATATGGTCTACATGGAGGAGCAGCAAGGAGAAGAAAACCATGAGACGTCCTTGTTATACGATAGCGATTAGATGGAAATCCGAGGCATGGATTTGCCCTCATGTTGAACCTGCCCCGGAAAAGAAGCTGCAATGAAAAGATTTAGATTTCTGCCTACTTGTGTATTAGAATGACCTGGTCAGCTTGATCATTTTTTTTCTGCCAAACTGATTTATTAAACCCTCTTCACAGATGCTTTCCATTAAATCTTGCTGAGTTTGACCCATTTTGAAATGAGCAAAACTGTTAATATCTCCATGTGCAAAGCTGGTAAAATACATCCAATGACGGCAACGAAATGTGTTTTTGACTTGGAAGAAACACATTCTTTTAAAATGAAATGTACACATTACATTTTATGTTAGAATATACAATGAGTATAAAAGGTTTTTACTGTATGTAATTTGCATTTTTTCTTTTATTAGATGCTGAAGAAGAAGAAGAAGAAGAAGAAGGAGGAAGTTGGATTGTTTCAGAGAAAGATAAAGAGGTAGGTGCTGATAGCCAAACGAAAGTCTATCTACTTTCATAGTTATTTTAGACTCATTTTGTTTTCTTAAAACTGGTTTTATTTTTCTTTTAGTTTGCATTTCTAATACTCCTGTTTAGAGCCTCTCAATCAGATCTCTTCCCAGTTTTTTTGTCTTCTATTCCAAAAAAGAGCTTTTAAATCAAACATTTGGGTCTAATCATAAAAAATATAATAAAATGGCCAAACCATCAGAAATCTTCTCTTGCTGTTACCATTATGGCCACAGCATAAGCTCAGTAAAGCACTCTGACTGTTTCAGGCTCAGATCTTTAACAAAGGCCGTGGTCCCAGGACTTTCCTGCAGCGTCCGTCCAGCAGATACTACACTGGGAAGAGTGTTCACTGTAGAAACTGCAACAAGACAGGACATCTCTCCAAGAACTGCCCTGACCCCAAAGTGAGTTTACACCATTGCACCGTAGGACGACCATCTGGTAAAAGTAAACGTACTAACTGCTGTGTTCTTTGTCTGCAGAAGTTGATGCCTTGCTTTCTTTGTGGGACAACGGATCACCTGGCCAGTCAGTGTCCTAATAAGCACTGCAACAACTGTGGCCAGCCTGGACATCTCTTCAACTCCTGCAGCGAGAGAGCTTATTGGCACAAACAGTGCCATCGCTGCAGCATGAGGGGACACTTCATTGATGTGAGTTTAGGACCAGAGTCGTCACCCTTTTTTTTTACCACCTAACAAAAAGTTAAGAGACACATTAAGGAACTGCAGATTCACAGCTTTTGGGACTTTTATAAGAGTATTAAAGCTTTAGTGAAATAAATTGGGTTAAAATGATTTGGTGTCAGCTTGAGATCAAAAAACGGTTCCTAAACATGACCGGCACTTAACCAGGGAATATTAACATTTGCGGTGAAACAATTTTAGCTTTCTGGCTGTTTACTGATCACTGCCCTTTGGAAAACTTGACACTAGGTAGAGCTAGACAATAATTAAATAATAATATAAAACGTTAAATAAATTCATTCAAAAACTGTGATAACGGCATTGGTTACATGAGTGAACACGTACATCACAGACAAGGGGCCTGAGCTCTGAAGCTGTAATACTGTGCTGCTAAGCTTCATGGCGTAGTTTTAGCTACAAAATGATGACCGGCCGAACGTTCCCATTCTGAATTATTGGTCTCTGCAAATGTCTCCGACTTTAGAGAAAGATTGTTGCATGTAGACCTTGAATAAAAGATTTTGCGCAGCTGAAGTTACAAGCAGGGGAGCAGAGCCTTCAAATAAGAGGAGAGCACAAGCTTTTCACTGCTGTCAGGGAGCCGCCCTGTGACATTATGTGTGAATGGATTTTTTTTTTTGACTGAACTGATCCTTTCTGAGATGAAGTTTTATGTATTTTTTTTAATATTTGCACTTTTTATTGAAAATATTTTTTCCCATACAAGTATAAAAACCGATTTTACAGGGTTTTTTTTGTTTTTTTTTTCTTTCCAAACACAGCATCCAACAGAATCTGCACATATGTTCTGTACATGTATTAACCTGTAAGCAAACTATTTACAGTCTGTAACTCCATGAGGGTACCCAAACCCATAAAATTAACCGACAAAGTCTGATCTCCATGGTGAAATAAAACCTAGCCAATTTTCCCAATAATTTTTACATTTTCCAAAATCAAATCTGATGGAAAAAGTCGAAGATGAAGTTTTAATTCATGCTTGGAAATGTTTGCTGTTCCCAGGTAATAAATAAAAAAAAATCCTGGGGTTTATTTAGTTTTTACAAAAGATGAGAAGTACAAAATAAACTAAGCTTTAATAAAAAAATAAAACAAACACAATGAGTCAAGACAAGGCCAGGGACATATGAGTGAGACGGAGAGAGGGAGAAATCTTAAATGAACAAACAAATGAACAACACATCGAAATATATGTAGATAACAGATAACAAAAAAAAATAAATAAAATGGAGGTAGGGGCCCATTCATCGGTGCACTTTTAATTTCAATGCGTTTTTCTAAAATAGTTCTTCCAGTTTGCATATGTGACGCCTTAAAGCAGACTGAACAGATTCTACATGCATTGGACATCTTAACTTTGTAGTTTTAAAATATTTTTTTTATTTTTATCACCTATCCTGTTCTCAATGCTGTTTGACCTCCCTGTGGTCACAGTTGGGCTCAGATCAGATTCAAGTCAGACCATTTTACAACGCTCACATTGCTTCCTGTCAGGAAAAAAAGGTTAGAGACTGTTAAAATTGTACTGTGGAAATGATTTAGAGCCTGTTTATATAAATACACACCCTTAAACATAGATAAGCATGTTAACGCACACAGACTCCTCTGTCGCCTTTTAATGAGTGACCAGAGGTCAGCACACGCGTCTGTTCACAGTAATTGATGCACTTCAGTAATAACAGTTTAGTTAGGTCCTTGTATTCCAGCTGTTTCCGAGCGTCACGACTGAAGGATGCATTTAAAGACCATCGATGACAATTATCACAGGGCCGTGTTTATTAGCTGGTCCATTTTGACGGCAACACTACAGCAGGAAGTAGTGAATGGAAGGAGCAATATGCAGCCGCCCTCCTTTTCCTCCTCCCTCTCGCTCTCTCTCTTCGTCAGTCAGTCAGTCATGTACTGTTCTGTGTGTAATGGATGAGTAACCAGGTGAACACCACAGGGAGAGGGTACACCAGGACACACACCATCCAATTCTCTCTTTCTCTCTCTGACCCTTATCCATTCCCTCTCATCCTCTGTTTCAGATCCTTCTGTTTATCTGGCTCCTCTCACCTTTTCTGCACATCTCTCCATAAACAACACAAAAAGCCCAAAGACGCCCTGTGATAAAATTACCTCTCACTTGAGATGCACAACTTTTTCCTTTCCTTTTCTTTTCTGCCTCCACTTACACTCACAAATTACACTGAGCGCATTAGTGTGTCTGTTTTGGAGAGAAGAGGAGTCAAGTCTCAGTCCCCTGGGCCTTTCTGTGTCTCTCATTAAAGACAGACGGTTGATGGAGCGCGAGTGTGTCGCTCTCCTCGCCTGTCGCCCTCGACAACAGCACACTACCCCGGCGGTTCGTAGGGATGGAACAAATAGGAGGGGTTGAGGGGGGGTTGAAAGAAAAAGCTAAATTAAAGGAGGAAAAGACACAGCTGTAGAAATTAATGCAAGTTCTCCTGCCTTTCAGTCCTGATTCCTCCTCATAAGAGGCCATAGTTTCCATTTAAAATCCTTATTTAATGTGAATTCATTTCACATAGATTCTATTGAGGAATCTAGTTTGGCAGTGAGCAAATTAAGATCAGCCTTTTTCACAGAGCACGCCTGAATCTGAATGACGTCTTCAATCTGCCTCTCACTCAGTAGGTACGTAAGTAGATAAATCGCGCTGCCTGCGGCGACTTTGGCATTTTCAATTTCCCCGCGGGAAGCAGCAGTGGCTGGTAAAGGTTGTCGGGATGCTCATGGGGAACATAATGCTTTCTCCACACCAGCAACCAAACAAGCAGCTGCCTTACTGTCTGTTAGTTACTGATGACATACGAGACGCCCATACAGGAAAGACAATCTGAGACGCTTTAGGGAAAGATGAGGGAAGAGAATAAGATGTAAACGTTTTTTTTTTTTCAGTGTCCTCTTTGCTCGTTACTTAGGATCTCTCTGTTCTTCCTCAGTCATGTGACCCATTAGAACATCAGACCAGTCTCTGTGTATGCCTATGGAAACACTGGGTGTCAGTTTTTGTGTGCTCTGACTTTAAACTTTTCTTCATCTCCTTCCAGGCTTGTCCAGAGATATGGAGACAGTACCACATCACAGTGAGTGACTTTCTTACATAATTCAATACTGTCAGACTCCTCTGTGCTCCCATCTTCACCTGAGCTGCGTTTAACCTATACATGTGGTTTGCTCTACAGTTTGGAGAAAGAACTTTAAAAAAACAACCATATTTCCTGTATTTTGTAAACAGGCAGACATGAAGCAAGCACACTTAGATTATCAACAAAAACATGTTTTAAAACTAATATAAAGTATACATTCATGGCACACAGAGTGATGATCAGCTGATTTTACTTCCATCTGGTAAAAGCTGAGAAATTTTTTTTTTCAGAAAATAAAATTTAATGTAAGACTTATAAATAAATACTACAAAAGGTGCTAAAAGGCACCTCCATATTCTGTATGGGTTTGGCTCTCCTGTTGCGGCCTAGTATGCAGTGGCGCCACCCTAGCCTGGGTGCCATTCCGAACTTAGTCCCGCCCACAAGGTTTGAGTTCGGGGAAGTTTGGTCTGGCTCTGCTCCATAGTACCGCGAGTATTATCGCCCACTGTCAGGCGATCCAATCAAATTGTCAGGGCGGGCTTTATACGATGATGGACAGATGACGAGTAACAACGTAATCAACCACATCACCAAATCGCGCTTGGGTGACAACAATAATGGCTGCCGCTGGAGAGTTTGGGTGAGTAGATTCTGCTATTAGGTCTGTTCTAGAAGATAATGACAGCAAATTAATTTTAAAAGAGGAACAGAGAAACGCGATCAAGTCTCATCTTCTTATTCTAGGCGTGCAACTGCACGGTTTGATTTTTGTGGACAACAACTATGCCTCGCTTAACATATGTCACGCACTCCGTTGCTCTTATTGGTTGTAGGTCTATCCAATTGAGTGCAGAGGCATTTTTTTTCCTGGTTCGTTCGAAACACGCCCCATAATCACAGCTCTATGGAGCAGTATCAGACTCATATTCTGACTAGAATTGAGTCGGACTACGTCAGGCTAGCGCCACCCCGCTCCCCAGTGTAAATTGTAGTAGCATCAGTTTATCATTTTACCCCTTTATGCTCAGCCAGCGACATAACATTTAAAAAAAATTGCACATTAAACCAAGAGATAAATAGGTGCTTACTTAAGTCTTTATGATTATTCTACAGGCAGGTTTATCACAATAGTAGATTGAAACCCTTAAATTATGGCTTTTAGTTTCAGCATGCCACCCCAAGATTTTTAGTGGCCCCATCTGGCCACCCCTATGAAACATTTGTGGAGGCGCTGCTGGCATGGCAGCTACAGCCTCTGGATCTACTGAGGTGCAAGCTGCGCTTATCTACGTTGATGGCGGAGTCTGTTGTCTGTCCTTTACTCTACAAGGCCTTTAATGGGGTTCTAGTGAGGCCAGTTTAGCACAGTAACACCTTGGTAACTGAACATGAAGCTTTGACAGTCTGGGTTGGATCCAAGTCCAAGAAAGATGCATGATGCAGCCGCCCTGATTTTAAAGGGAGCCCAGGGAATATACCTCTATTATGATTTGGCTCAGGGTGGCCTAGTTCATGAATGTGAATGTCTGGTGGCTCTTAAAGCTGTGTCTCCAGCTGCAGTTCATGGTTTTTGAATCTCTGTCCCATGCTTGAATGGGCCTTACCTCACAATCCTAAGTCTGTGGCTGATTGTGGACTTTTTTCCCCTACCTCACTTTTTCCTTCCACTTAACTTTCCATTTAAGTTTGGATAAAGAAGCTGTAAATGACTAGTGGTGGAGGGATGTCAATGACTGCTAGACATTTCTAAAGACAACAGTCTTCCCTATGGCTGTGTAGAACATTACATTTCAAAAATCCCATTTCATTGTTCATGTTTTTGGAGTAAATAAGTGCGATACAAACCTGCAAGCTGAATCCACAAATAACTGTTTTCCAAGTGATTTAACTTGTTGACAATATAATCTATTGAAATAACCTGCATTCAATTCAAAGTATGTCTGTTTATATTGGCTCAAAGTATTATGGATTGTTTTATTATTTACAAGATATAAAACTGTATTATGCATTATATTTTAAAGGCAACCATTGTTTTGTCTATAAGCCCATTAACTAAAGACCAATTTGCAGACGTTCTTCCTATTTAGCTTTTAAAAAATAATATTTTGTTCCGAAATTATAAATTAAGCCCCATTTAAAGGCAGTAGTAATATAATTTTTTGGAGAAATACACAAATAACCACACAGTAACCCCTAGTTATGTTATTTAGAAGCACTTTGCTGAGTTTTATTGGAAAGATTTAGCATTACTGTGATTGTTCACCACCTTAATAGCAAAGTAAGAACCTTCATATGTGCCACATCAGTGCTTAAGGGATCAAGTAACAAAGAGGTCTAAAGTCAGGTAACATTTGACATTTTCCCAGGCTTTTGAACATCTTAAAATGTAATAGAGTAGGAAATAGAAAACCATGAGAAGTCCTGTCTCCAGTTTGCAGCAAGCTATGTTGGAAACCCTGAAAACCGTCAGTAAAACCCAAATATGATAAATGAACATGTTTACCTGCCTGCTAAATCATCACAGTTCAATAGAGAAACATGGGGGTAGACGCATCAACAGGCAGATGTACTTTGATCAATGTAGAGTTTAAAGGAAGATAGAGGAAGCTAAACATATTTAGTCTTACACATTTAACTGCTGTTGGTGACTGGAGGAATGGTTCACCTTCCAGCAAGACAGCCAGACATTCAGAAGGGTTTTTAACAAAGCAAATCATTTTCAGTCAGAGATGCACAAATTCAAGGGACTTTTTTTGTTCAAGGTTTAGTGGAGGATGTTCTTTTTCTTGGTTGATCATCTAAATAAGTGGTCCACCTAATTGTCAATCATCCTGGTGATATGTTTACGTAAGGCCATCCTATGTGCTAGTCCCCATTCTCACTTACCAGTGGTGAGTCTAAGCTAGTAGAAAAATTGCAAATCTTCCTTTGGAAAGTAATCTTGTGTGAGTGATGCAACTTTTAAATAGAGCATGCACAAGGAGAAATGGGCTTATCCACGTTCTCGCACTCGTCAAATAGGCGTTCCCTCTCGGGAGCGGCCACAGGGTTGCCTATGTGCATCTTTTTCTGAAGTGGGGAGGGCGGATCTGTTCAAATATTCGTGAAAATCCTCCACTATACCTTTAAGAAATGTTAATATTTTTCAATAATCCTCAGTCGTTTTAGCTTGAACCATTTTGATTTGAAGAACTTATTCCATTATTTGTATAAAACCACTCTTTTCAGAACGTTCAATTTATTTTATTTTTTTTCCAAAGTGAAATTTTTTATTCCATCATTTATATCTTTGTGTCTGTCTATAAAATAACATAAAAGTTAATCAGAGTTAAGCCTGTAACTTTTAGCAGGTGAAGGCTAAAAGTTCTATGAGTTCTTCTGAAAAGCCAGGTAGTTCTTACTGCAGCCGTCCCAATTAAAGCAGAGAGCAGGGCGGTGATGGTGGATGGGCAGACTAAGCCAGCAGCTTTCTGAAGCCTGAGCTTCATAAAGCCAGTGGCACTGGTCTAATAAGAGAGGAAACAAGTCACAGCTAACCACCTTAGCACGATGGAAACAACCAAGGATTCCTCACATAGTGACGTTTAAACAAACTATTTGACATCTCTGATCTGTGCATGAGTATAACGTTTAAAACAAAAAGAGGTTTGGGATTTAAGATTTTTTTTTTTTTAATAAGGTCATTAGTTGTGATAAATTTCCAAGAAGTTAGCTGAAAATATGCATTTTTACTTAAAGAATATGGAGAAAATCAGAGGAACCCCATCATCTGTGGGTGTTGTAAAAAAGTTTGAGAGTTAAAAACTGTGACAGAGACAAGGGCCACATGTCAGCAAAAAGTTATTTGCCTTTCTCTGTGTGTCTGTGTGTGTGCTTCCCAAATTTAAAAAGATAACTAGTTTTCCTGGCTCGCTGTCAGTGTGTGGGGGTGTGTTTGTATGTGTGTGCATCTGAGCGAGGGGGTGATATAGACCTCAGCCTAAGAGAAAAGAGCAGCTTGTTTGTCAATTAAAAGACGTGATAAAGCATGAAATGGGCTGCCAGCACCACGCGGGACGAGGGGAGCGGGGAAGACGGAAGAAGAGTGTGTGTTTTGCATACATCTTGGCGTGCACTTTGCATGGTTGTGTGTGTTCGGGGAGGTCTGTCACTCTCCTCTATGGAGATTAATTAGCAGGGGCTGTCTAATGAAAAGGCAGCATCGTTAGCGCCGGGGCGGCTCGGCGGGAGAGACGGAGTGAAAAAAAAAAAGGAGGAAGGCGGAGGGAACGGGACGGAGAAGTTCCAGGGGAGACGCTGGCAGACAGGACGGGAGCCCGGTTTAATGGTTGCTCGTGTTTTAAAAGAAAGAGATTTAGCTTCACTTGGAGCCACGGGGCAGAGGGGACGGGGCCGAAGAAAGTCTCCATCATTTTCGTCCAAGAAGCCACTCCTGTGTGTGTGTGGGTGTGTGTCTTTCTGTGTGTGTGAGAGATGCTGTGCTTTAACGGGTGGAGGATTGTGACCCAGGTCTAATTGAAGTATTTAAGCCATTTAAGCACTGGGAACAGAAGGTCGTTACAGATCCAAACTGGCATGGGGGTTAGGGGCCCCGTGCAGACACAACCACACTTCCACACATGCATACAGAGGGCTCCTTCTGTTTAAGACAGCCTCATTTTATTCATGATGCTGCTTATGACCCTGAACTCCCCAATGTGAGAAGGTGTGTGTGTGTGTGCGTGTCTGAATGTGTGTGTTCGCTTTGGGAGATGTGGCTCTGTCACCTTCCGCTGGGCTCAGCCAGGTGTGAAAAGGCATTCTGTCAGACCTCCCTGCTACCGGGTCCATTTATCCGTCCTTCTTTGGTGTGTGTGTGTGTGTGTGTGTGTCTGCATGTGCTCGGCCCGTTTATCTTCCGTGAGTGTATGTGTTGTCTGCCTGCACCTGGCCCTCAACTAACAAACTCCTCCAAACCCCTCAGTATAGACCACAATGCCCAGGGGCATTTACTG